TGTGATTGCTTCTGTAGCTCTGTGTCTCTCTGTAGTTATTTTGTGGTTGATTTGCATTTTTGCATCTTGTCATTTTATGCCACTTTATCAGAATTTAGAGTCTCTCTGTGGTCATTTTGCATCTTATTGTAGATGTATGACTGACAAATGGTAACTCTCTCCTCAGACATAGGCTCTGGCCCAGGGACCCCCTGACCTTTTGGGCCCCTGTGCCTGTTACACTCATGCAGTAATCTATCCATCTCTCAGGACAACTGAGAGGTGGTGAGATTGTTTGTCATGTTTAAAATAAAAGTTCCAAAATGAAACACTATAGTTCGGTTCTTGTCAGTAAGTTTCGATGTATCCTTTCATCTGTTACAGACTATTTCTGTGTCAGAATAGCTGTGAGCTTTAAATGTGCCTCCTCCTGTGTGAAGTGGAAAACTTTATATCACTCATTCACTGACATTCAGTGGTTATTTGATGAGTAAGAAGAACAGCGGAGAAAGAACAAAACAGTACTTACATGGAGCTCAGTTCTTCAGTAGGTCTTCTCTACTGCTGCTTGGGCAGGTCTCGACCCTGATGGTGTGAGTGACCGTTGTTACTGGAGCAGATTTCACAGGTGAGTTTGGCTGCAGAGGCATGACTCTCTTTGTTGGGGTGGAGCCGCTGTCGGTGTGTCCAATCCCACTGCAACAAAGAGGAGGATGCAACTTGACACCTTGTGGAGGAATGAAAAAAGTAACTTTGGTGCACATAAACTAAACTAGTGAGTGTCAAGATTTTAAACGCAGTTCCTTGTCTGCAGGATCACAGACTTGCAAACAGCAGAGCAAAAGTTGAGACACTTGATTCACTTCCTGTAACAGTACTCTGCTGTCCATAAAATCTTAATTAAAAAAAATCTTTTATCCAAAAAAAAAAACCTCCTCTATTTTTTTTTATGAATCTACATATCACTCTGTTTGCAACTATTAGTTGCAAACAGAGTGATATGTAGATATGTAGACTTGCAACTATTAGTTGCAAACAGAGTTTATTAGTGTACTGAGGTGCTTGTAAAAGCACACAAATATTATGAATTAACTATCAAAAGTCCTGATGCAAAATGGCACCATTCAGAGTGTTATACAGTATGTGTCACATATATATATTATAACCCATGGTGGAAGTACTCAGATCCTTTACTACTGTAACAGTTGCCACACCACAGTGTGGAAAAACTCTGTTACTGTTACAAATAAAAGCCCTGCATTCAATATTTTTTGAGTAAAAGTACAAAATTATTAGCATAAAATTACTTAAGGTAATAGTAAAAGTACTCATTATGCTTATTATCCCATTTCAGAATAATTCATTCATTCATTTTCTTCCGCTTATCCTCTAGTAGGGTTTTCAGAATAATATAATATTGTATTATAATTACTGATGCAACATCACTTTAATGTTGCAGCTGGTAAAGGCGGGGCTAGTTTTAATTACTTTTTATACAGCTGAGTAGTTTAATATATATTGATAGTTTCTTTGAAATGTAGTGTAATCGAAGTAGCAGAAAACAGAAATGCTTGGGTAAAGTACTTCATCCTTATAATTAATTACAGTACTTATTTAGTTATTTTACACCATTGAATATTGCTGATGTATTAACTTGCCAGCAACATAATAATGTTGTCATGGTGGACCTAATTTAAACTATATATTATTGGGTATACTCTATGTTTTGCATGTATCATCTTAATCTGCAAAGTAACAATAAAGTACAATAAAATGGAAATATTCAGTAAAGTACAAGTACCTCAAAACTGTCCTTAAGTACAGTAAGTAGTTGAGTGAATGTACTTTGTTACAGCCCAGCACTGTTTACGCCACACAAACAAAAGTCTATTTGAGTTATATTTGGCCTCATACAGTAACATCTACCCCCTCTGATCTTCATCTGACCTGACTGGTGAAACCTGGAGCACAAACCGGTGTGGCTAGTCGGCTGGAAACAGGGTCTCTGCTGTCTCCACAGTGATACCATTGAGTGAGCACACAATGCATTCAGAGCGATGTGAGAAGCTGGCTTCACCCGAGGACGGCCTGACGGGGTGGGGAGAAACGGGAGGAAGCAATGAAACAATGGAGGGACAGAATGAAAAGAAAGTGAAGACCCCTGAGAAATGCAGAGAGAAATGCAGGGCGTAGGTCTGGTTGAACTGGAAACCTGGCTTATATTCACACACAGACACACACAGAAACACACACCTTTCTTGTGTGTCAACTATCTCTAAGCTCCTCTCTAGCTGTTATACAGTATGTAATCCCCTGTTACTGTATTGTAAAATTCATCTGCTGAGCATTATTCTCTCTGTAGGATCAGATCACACAGTGACACTGACCTGGTTTAGTGCCTTACATGTCTCTCACTCCACCCAAGCCACCCACCCACCCCTGCCCTGCACACTCACATACACAGCGTCACGAAAACCACTGAAAAAAGGATGAGAGGCAGAAAAAAAAGCTCTCCAAGCTGTTCAGCTCATCTGCATGATCAAATCAGGACTTTAACAGAAAATAAACGAGACGTAATTTGAGGGTGGTGAGCTGGTTGATTACATTTTGGACTGTTGAGTGTGGAAAGTTCCTTTTGTGTTATTTGTAATCTGAATATAGAAGTTATCACCTGTCTGGCTTCTACAGGAGACAGACACAATAACATAAATATCTTAAATCTAGGTAGGAGTATTGTAAGATTGTACAGCTGTTTGTGTTGTCCAGCTCTTAATGCTAATGAATACATATTACAGAAAACATCCCATACATAAGAAACACCACTCAGGAATAAATGAATAAATTCATGCAAATGTTATGCTTCCTCAATCTGTATCTGTGAAGGGTTACTGTTACTGAGTCAGATGAATGCTGGTGAAGGAATTTGTAACCCTGGTTTTCATAATCAACCTTAGCAGGAAGTAGCATGGATATACTGCCACCTTGTGGGTCAAAAAACACCCCACATTATGTACTGATGATCAGTGATCTTAAAACACACAACATAAAATCAAATTACAGTAATGTAACTATCTGCACTGCCATGCTTTTAGTATTTTTCATGAAAGCTGTAGTTATATGCTCTAAAGTAATCATCTAACTTAGCTAAACCCAAAGCAGTTTAGTACAACAGCACTGTATGATGATTTTGGAAGATATAATCTGTGGTGCTGTTGAACTGCTTTGCATTATATTGAGAGGTGTTTCTGTAATTTAACCTACCCTCATTGATTTTAATAAGGTGGACAAAATAGAATCACGCATAACGTTATACAATTCAACCGATATCGCCACATCCCTGCTGGCTTCAGTAACTGTACAATCTGTCATTCAATTTTTCTTTCATCTGTCTTTGTGGAAAAAAAAGTGTGTTTCTGGGGTAACAGAGAGTAGACCGACCATTAGGACCATTGTTAACTTAAGTAACTTGACAATTGATCACCTTGTCCTAATAATAACATTTAAAACAGGCAGTAGCTAATTGCCCCATTTCCCACATAACGACTATCTGTTCTGAACTAAAATGTAGAACAAAGAGTTGAGGGCAGAAGTCAAAATAATAACATAATACAGACTGATGTACTAGAATGACTTCCTGTGTATTTTTAGACAGGTACTGATTAGCTGATTTTTACTAGATAAGTTCAAACTGTCCTGGAGAGTCTGGAAAGTTGTTTTTGCAGTTTTTTCTGTCAGTACAGGACAATTTGATTATTCAGAGCTTTAAGTGCAAAGTATCTTCACATTTGTAAGATATTTTTGCCCTGAATTTGTCTTTGGAGTCATGAGGGACTGAGGAATTCCTAGTAAGATAAGTAGGATAATTTACATTACGCTACGCTTGCTGAAATAAAAGCTAAATATAATTGAAAAGCAGCTCATTTCAGGGGCTTTCCTCCTCCACTTTGACCATCTGACAACCTGTACAGTATGTTAACTTGACAACAATTCTAGGTTCAGTGATTTCCAGAATTTCCAGTCTTCCAGTGTGCTGTAGCGCCACCATCAGTCCCTAACATGCAGCAGACAGCCAGGCATTTCTGCCTCCAACACGCCTCAGGAGAGTAATTTAGATCCTGCTCCAGCTTCTTATAAATCAAACTGAAGTGCTGTGATATTTCAAAAGCCGCTGTCGTCCCCCCAAAATAAACACATTCTGGGAACCTGCTGTGGAGCCCCGTGTTTATTTTTGCATAGTGCACAGTTGGCCGTCAGCCTGGGTGAAGTGAATCATATGTTTCAGCTATTTCCTTGCTTTTCATCAGCCCTCCTCCTGCTCTAGTGTGCTACTGTAACAGTCATGGTTTACACATCAAATTTTTCTTTGTTTATTTCTCAGAATGCCCATAGTGCAGAGCCATAGTCCAGAGTCAGATAAATTCATTTTGTTTTGTTTTGTCTTTGTTAGGAAACTTGATACTGGATACATTGGTGTAGAGCTTTCATAGCTTGGCTTAAATGGAAGGCCTGTGCAATATCCACGTTTAAACAAAACACCCTAAGCCACAAAGTAAATTAACTGTGGTCCAGTTTGCCTAAAGAAAGGACGGTTTCACCTAAAAATGTTCACTCATGTGTTAACCCGCCCACTGTTGTTTGTTGACGTGGACCTGTTCTGAAGCCTCAAATAGTCCACTTCTGAACAACACATTTAGTCACCCTCAGTCTGAGAGACGCTCAAATTGCTGGTTTTCTCATGTGTCACCAAACAGCTGATGGATGACATGAAATTTAAATCTGATGCTTAAAGTGCTTCCAGAAATAAAGAGCTGTTGTGGAGGAAAACTCACCCTGCATTCTGAAGCCGGTTTACGCATCTGTTTGCTTTAACAAGCATATAAAGCAGAGAAAAGAAAAAGTTACGGTTATAGCTTATTAAAAGCTAAACCGAACAAGGGCCTAACTCTAACTGTCCTGAATTTATTGTTGAAACGATAATTTGCAAAACTTCTATGTCGCCATTTTGAATGAACTCAACTGAACCGTTAACCAAGCCCCGCCCCTTGGTTACTGTTACTAAGTCTAACAGCTTTCCGTCACATACACAGTTTACAATAATACAAACGCTTCTCTTTAATACATTCATGGGTTTTAAAATAGTAATTTGTAAATAATTTTAATGTGTGTTCAAGGTGTACATTAGAAGTTCCATGAAGATATAATTTTAAATTGGGGTACAGTACACGATTGAAAAAACAATCTTATTTTGACAGAGCGTGGAGAGCATGCAGTTTTTTCAAGAGGAAGGTTCAAAGAAAACATTAATGAACCTTTGGCAGTGAAGCATACTGTAGCCTAAGGTCCCTGCTCCACTAATATTAGTCACAGTCCCAAACAGTGAATTTAAAGTATGTATTTTATCAGGAGACAATGAAATGTAAAATTATGTATCATCTGCATAACTGATTTTGTGTTACCTGATGACTAGTTTACTCCTAAAATAGTTATACAATACACGAACAAGGCCTTTCTGGGCTTATATTTACCTCCACATAATCAGTTTGGTGGTAGGAGCAGGATTTGTTTATCTCATGAGATATTTTTATAGCATATTTTTTTTTAAAATCTATCATCCATTTATTTAAGAGCTGAAACTAAAACATTATCATACTCATCAGCCATTCAGTTACTTTGCATGGCATCATCAGTTCAGTCAAATAATATCCTCAAGTGAAGCAGGGGGGAAAAAAACCCACAAAAAATAGAAGACTCTGCCAGCATATGGTAACATCTTAAATAAACTTGAGGAAGAGGAGGTGGAGGAGGAGGAGGAGGGTGCTGATGAAGATGACTCTCATTGCAATCTTGCACAGAGGGTTTTGTTGACTGTTGTGCAGGGGAGAGCTCATCAGCATGAAGGAGAGAAATGTGAATACGCAGAGACGAGGGGCACTGCAGTGTATCTGCTCATTAGGCGGGCGACGCTGTAATTCAGCGAGCGAGCAGCTCTGCAATCAGGGGCCTATTCATTAGCATGGGGGGCCCGCTTTCATCTGCAACCACTTGAAGCTGCCAATCACCGAGGCGGACGCATGACAGGATGACAAAACGGGGTGGCTTAAACGCTCGGGGATGCTTGTGCATGGAGAGAGACATGCCTAAATGCTGCCTCGTATCTGAGAGGGACTTTAATGGGAAAGAAATGTGCGTTTTTACAGTGTAGTGCTGGCAGGTGGCCCAAACTGTGTCAGCCTGATAATCATCTCTCTGCTCAGCATGAAGAAAGCTTTTGTTCTAAGATTTCACAAGGAGCAGTACCATTTTCCTGAACAGGTTTCCTCCTGGATTGAATTGATTGAAAGTGATTGATTAGAATAAAGTTTGATTTAATGGTAAAGTTTAGGAGTGAACAAGAGTACTCAATCAGTCCTCTACTATGTCCTCTGATGCCCTACAAGTAGTGATCTCCACCACGCAGTTTTCCTTTAAACACACACATACATGTACTTAAAAATCAGACAGTGTTGCAGGTACAGGCCATCGCACACACCTGGTCCATTCACCATTTGGGCATCTTTAATTAAATCTCTCAGCTGTATAAGGGAACCATTGTGTGTATGTTTTTATCTGCTGTATGTGGAAGCAGCGCTGGGTCAAACTGTCGTGTTTCTGACATTCCTGCTCTGCCACAAGCAACAGGAGAAACACTGCTGTCATCTGAAACTGTATTAATGCAGATGTGATCCCACTCTTTCTGCATTTTTACTCAAATTGGATGTTTGTGTTCACCAATTTTAATTCCATGGAGGGGGAAAACTGTTAAAAACTAAACAAACAATTGACATAATGTTATAGTTCCTCATGTGGGGAAATACGCTTATTCCCATTCCTGCTGAGAGTTGATGAGAAGATTGATACCACTCTCATGGTTATATGATAGAAATTAAGCTGTAGCTAGCAGCCAGTTAGCTTAGCATTAAGACTGGATTTAAGGTGAAGCAGTAATTTGCCTGGCTCTGTCTGAGGTTGACAAAATTTACCCATGAGCACCTTTAAAGGTCACAAATATTTTTTTCATTAGCGGGGGGTAGGACGGATACTGATGATTCCTGCCTTTCAGAGGCTTGTTTTCTTTTTCCTAACATGTCTTCTTTATAAATAACAAGTAACTAAACAGTTTCCTCTTCCAGATGTCCAAGACCAGTTCTCTTTGTACATATGTTGCACTGGAATTACACCACTGACATATGCAAACCACTATTTATTTACTATTTATGCCAGAAATAAATAGCATCAGACATTGGGCTTGATATGGTGTAAATCTTCAGGATTACAATTTTAAAGCGGTGTTAAGTCATTGTGTGGCTCACCAAGCTTTAATCAGCGACTTACATGGCAACAAATAGTCAAAGTATGATAATGCCAATAATTCCTAAATTACTCAAAACAGCTACACTGTTTATACACAAGTTGGCAGTATAGGCAACAAACATGGGATCTATCCCAACTCGTCCCAAATTGTGGGCTGTGGTAGGATAATATGGGGGGATTAAAAAAATTACATATATACGGTATGATGTACTATGCAACCTTTTCATGTATATTTAAGTGTTAAGTAAATTCTGACTGAATGAAAAGGAAGGAAAGTGAAGAAACTGCTCATTTGTGTAGTAGTGTTATCAGTTCAGCTGTTAGCTAGCTAACATGCTAACATGCTAGCTAACACATATTGTGCAAACAATAAAAATGGATCGATTTCTAATCAAACAAAGTTGTAAAAGAGAAACAAGACAGTGTAGCAATTGAGGAAAATGAAGAGTCAGAGCATGCAGCAGCTGAAACTCAAACTGAAGACGCTGGACTAGAGACAGACTACAAGTGGTCTGAGTAGAAAATGAAAGAAATAGTGGAGACCGCCCCTTTAAGGTGTGAAGAAAAAGTATCACTGACAAGTAATTTTACTTTTATCAAGTAAACTGTAAAATGTCCTGCTGATTACATATCATGGTCTCAATTTGAAAAAAGAGAAAGAAAGAAAGAAAAAAGGATCCTTCCTTCCATCAAAAATGTTTGTGTTTAGGTGAAAATGTTACATCAGCAGATAACCAATCCATTTTTTTCTTTCATATTCTTTGTAGCACCCTCAGAAAATGTACTCCTGTGCAAAAAAAAAGGCCAAATTGATCCAGTTTGTAAAATCCAGATCTAGCGATATCCTTTAACTCAAAGTATCCCATTCATTCTTCCCATCACAGCAGCTTAAGTGCTGTAAATCAATGTAACAACTGTAGATAATCTGTATTAAAAGGCCTCACAAAAGGCAACAAACTGCCCAATCAATGGCTGCGCTTTTGAGCGAAAATCTCTAGAATCGTTTTCACAGTAGGACTGATCACATTTCCAGTTAAGTACAGCATGTAAATTGGAGATGATGTGTAGGTTTGTGGCAGGACATTGCTCTCAATAACACGTTAGTGCAGGTACTTGGCCTCTGACCATCGACCTTTACATTTAATAGCAGTGGGTGTAAAAATAGTGCCCTGTTGTAATGTGCCTCCAGTGGAGGTGTATTCACATGTCTCTCTAATGCTCCATCATTACACACACACACACACACACACACACACACACACACACACACACACACACACACACACACACACACACACACACACACACAAAAACACCCCCTTGCTTTCTCTGCATGAGTAAATCAACCTGATTAATTATTCAAACACTAAAATTTTCATTACAGATCTGATACATTTTATTAAACCATAGCAGTATTTACAATGTACAATCACTGAATTATTTCATTTCAAGACACATTTAAAAGTGCTTTTTAAAAGTGAAGTTTTGTTCTGAATAAATAAGAGTTTCCATTTTCTGACAATACAACAACAAACAACAGTAAAGCTGCAAATGTGCTCACAAAATAATAATAATAGAGACAAAATAATAAAACAAATGCTGAGGTTTTACTGTAATACTGCTACAACTTTCCTTTTTTCTCCTTTTTTGAAAGCTCATATTGCAGCAACATAATTAAAATACCTTGTATGAGTTGGGTAAACCACAGGAAAAAAAATCCTGACCTGATGTAATGTTTTGTGTCCAGTCACAAAAAGAGAAATAAAATAAAAGTGGTCTTCTTTTCTGCATCATAGAGAAAAAAAAAAAAAAAAAAAAAAAAAAAAAAAAAAAAAAACTCCCATGTTGGCATGGAGGCGGGACATTTCTCCCATCACCAGAATCTGCTGTATTTAAAAGACAAGTTTAGCTCTGCAGTCTCACAACGAAAAATCCGACTGATTGAAAACAGATTGTCGAAGTCCTGCTGCCCAAGGATCAGACTCCCAAACAGAGCAGATTACCAACAGTATGTCCCAATGGATTTTTTGTTTCATCCCAATGTCATCGGAGTGGTGGAAAAGTGGAAGCAGGAGGTCAGCGGCTTATGGGAAGCTGTGGTAAAGACATGGACGAATGGGTCAAGTGGCCCGGAGCAGCGAGGACGGAGAAGGGATGAGCTGCATGAAGAAGAGACGAGAAACAACATGAGTTTGGGAAGCAGTGTGAGCATGTTTAGTGCTGTAGTTGAAGAAAATGCTACCGATGAGATGAAGATTTTCAAAGCCTCCAAATGATGAGTTAAAAACCACAGAGACAGATTTTAGTCTGCAGAAACCATCCAGTGTAAGAAAATTGATTCAGATTCATATTTTTTAAACTTGGGCCTACAGCACTTATCACAATGTCCTTTCAAGTGCAGCCATTTTTATTTATATCATCCAAAATTATAAATTAAACATTTGCCTCAAAGGGCTTCACAATCTGTTCAACATATGACATCCTCTATTCTTAGCCTTGCGCTTTGGATAAGGAAAACTGTAAAACTTTATAATAAAACCCTCAGTTTACACTGTGTGAATCAGGAACCGATAAAATACTAACTGCTTCCTAAAATGAAGGAAGAGTGGCAGAAAATAAAATGATGGAGAACAAGGGAGTAACAGTTTGGCATTTAAGAGGAAAGAAGAAATAAATTATTTGAAGTTTGGGGGGGAAAAAAATTGTGTTGTTGACAGTGATGTTTTGCAGAACCTACAAAGTAAAACCTAACTGCCATGAGCAAAAGGCAAAAGTGTTTGTTTTTCCTGGACTGTAGTCAATCCAAAGAATATGAGCTGGCTGGCTAAATTGCCTATGCAGTCTTTAACCTGTTGAATCCCCAATGAGTATGTTGCTATGCTCCATAAAGTCCCTCGTTATTCCAAGATTGGAGTTTCATATCCTAAAACTATAAAATTGCTGTCCCCCAGGTTACATTTACAAGTACATTTACTAAAGTACTGTACTTCAGTACAATTTTGAGGTACTTGTACCTCATTATATTCCTCTTTCTAGTCCTCATTAATACACTTATTGAATGATTGCAATAATTCTTTATTGAATAGTAGCCTTTATTTTTCTAGCTAAGCTTTAAGGGTATGGTACCATGCATTTCACTACGAATATTATGATATGATTTTATGATATGAAATAAGATTTTAAAGTGCAACAGTGCATCATATTTTAGTGACGGATCATATGTTTTTCATGTAAAATAACCAGGGACTATAGCTGTCAGATAAATGTATGTAAACAAGTAAAAAGTACAATATTTATTTGTCCAATAGAAGTATAAAGTAGCATGTCCATAGTATTGGGTACTACTGACTACACTACTGTAGTACTGAGATTAATCTATGCATCTGCATCATATCTTATAAACTCTGTATATGTTTTGCATGTAAAATCTGAATTTTAAAAATTGAAAAAGTAAGTAAAGATGTCAGACAAATGTAGTGCAGTAAAAAGTACAATATTTCCCTGTGTAACTGTAGGAGAATAAAATAGTAGCAGTAAATAGAAATACTCAAGTAAAGCACCTTAAATTTCTATTTAAGTGCAATACTTGAGTAAAAGAACTTCCATCACTGCATATTATATGATACTACAAATACAAGCTTTAAATCTCTATTCAATTACCAGATGATTATGGAGTTAAAATGTTAGGAAAGAGATATAATCCTAGATAACATCCTGCAATCACAGCATTTAAAGCAGTGTACATTATTATTATCTTTCATGTGAGATAGTCTTCTTTTGTTCCCTAACAAAGTGCCACTAACGTGGGGAGCTAACACTCACTGTCCAGGTATCCTTGCAGGGCGAGTAGATGTGGTCGGTCTGGACTGCTGAACGTGGAGTAGTGGATATCTTCTGGCAGCGATGGAGGCATCCTGGACAGCGGAGCGCTCTGAGAGAAACTGCTCTGAGGCGGCTGCTTTTTGTGTCGCGCACGGCAGTTCTGAAACCAAACCTGGGAAATATTACAGGTAATGTGAACATGCAGAAGGAGGGGGGGGGGGGGGGGGGGGGGGGGGGGGGGGGGGGGGGGGGGGGGGGGGGGGGGGGGGGGGGGGGGGGGGGGTTGTAACAACACTGTAGAAACCTAGGTTGACCTTATTTGATTATTTAACATCCAGAGGAGCCCCAGGACAAATATTTGTTGTTGGGCTCCCCAGACACTCAGAAAACAACCAGTACACTAAAGCTGAAATTATAAGTTGATTAAATGTCAGAAAATGGGCAACAATTTTAATGACTGATCATTTAAGTAATTGTAATAAAAAAACGACCTCGCCTGATGATTTCTGCGTGTTAATTACTTAAAACACAGAAAAAATAGAGGCAAACTGTCAAAACAAAACTTGACAACAAATGAACTGAACTAAAACAATTAAGGTCTTAAAACTCGAGTCTCTCTTCAAGGTGCGAATTTTCCAACAAATATGCGATCAATCACAAATTGGCCTTCTTTGCCCGACTGGGAAGATTTTACACATCGTATTAATGGTGTTAATGTGTAAAAACTATAATGAAACTTGTCTTACTCTAAAGTACAACACTGCCACTTGTTTCCCAAAAAGAATTTAAAGAAAAATAAAAAAACTCACTTTTATTTATAACACTTTTATTTTGAAATACTGGATAATTTACCTGATTCACCTGGTCGGTTTCAGAAGGAAAATCAGGTTCTTCAAAGACAGGTCATTTTAAGGGGTTACAAGCAATAACATTGGGAACCACTGGTCTAAAACACTTTTTAGAGACTATTCCAACTCATCATGATGAATTCTAGGGGAAATTATCTGTATTTAGGTGGTTATTGTCTAAAAGCTCAACAAATTCTGTCAGTCCTGACCTTCAATAAAACACTGGGTGAAGTGCAGCACTGTCTTTGTCTTTGTCTGACTTTTTGGCTTACAATACCTTAAAACAAAGCAGTGTTGAAATGCAACCCCTTATCACAAGTTGCAAGTGGGATTTTCAAATTGTTTCATTTGAACTGTCCGAACAAAATAGAACTTCGTGGAGCATGAAAATTATGTTACAGCCCATTTTCTATGTGGTATAATACAATATAAACATTTGCCATATTGTTATATCATGTTTTATCATCGCCTACCTGTATGACTCGTCTGCTGAGTCCTGTCATTTCTGCCAGTTTCTGTAAAGTTTGAGCGTCTGGGTTGTTGTCCTGAGCGAACTGAGTCTGCATCACCTGTGAGGACAGACAGTATGAACCAACTCTTAATGCTGCACCACACCAGGTGGTGGAAAGAAACCACATACATCCACTCAAGTACTCTACTGAAGCAATGTTGAGTTTTTTACTTCAGTATTTCCATTCTATGTTACTTTATTCTTCTACTCCGCCACATTTCACAGGCAAATATTATAATTTTTTACATTTATTCGACGGCTTTATACTTTAAACATTCAGATTTTACACAACATGTGAAGAACTTTTAAAATATGATGCTTTGTTGATTAGTAAATTATCACAAAATGAATCAGCATCTGTGGAAGGTGAAAGGCTGGAGGGTGTGACTGTGTGCTCTGGGTTGCGATGGAAATCTTGTGAGCTGCTGGAAGAAGGTTCGAGAGACTTCAGATGTCTTAAGCAGAAGCATTTTATTGATGCATCGAGCGGAAAAATGATGAACAAGCGAACCAGTAAGGCCACTCTGAAATCTCTGAAGCTGTCGTCTGTGGAAGGGCTCATTTAAACCCTGAATCCTCACATGGCACTTGCTCATACATGTGTCAAGATTAATGGAAATCTAAATCTAAACATGAGCTCACGTCTTACCTAACTCACGTAACCTCTGTCCAACTAACAGAGACACTAAGTGACCATCAGACACAGAGACACAGGCTGTTTGTTAGCTGGCTGTTTGGCTATCTATCCTACCAGAGCTTTTACAGCTCCTGGAGAACTGGATAAGAGAATTAATGAGAACTAAATGAAATAGAATAGACTTAATGTAAGAAAATTCCTGCACATGGGTAACTGTGATGGACTTTTCTCACCAAAACAAACAATCGATGAACAGATTAATCCGTAACGCAAACAATCATCAGCTGCAGCCCTTAAAAATAAGCTTCACCTCAACCAGCAAGAGTTGCATCCTGTTTAAACTATTAATGCATGAGTAATAATAACCCATTATACTATATAATATATGATTTCACAAACACATACACATGTCAGAGCAGAATCTACCTGCAGTTGCTCAGCAGTGAATGATGTCCGCGCTCTCTTGGCTGGTTTTGGTTGGCAGTCCTGATCAGAGGGCAGTGCTCCTTCCAGAGTCAGTCCTGTGCCTGACGACAATCACAACAAGGTTATGTCTCATGTCACGTCAGCCACAAAATAAAAAAAAGTCAGCCATCATATTGTGAGGTTACGTAACGCAACACAGAGCAAGGTTAAAAGTTAACAGGCTAATTTTGTTACAGCTCCACAAAGTCTGTGTCACAAAACTGAAGATTTGTCCAGACAAGCCGCAAAACAATTAAATTGTTCTCCTGCCAACAACCGCACACGCCAAAGTATTTACACCATGATGGCCTACGTGTTCCTCACAGCAGAGAGCATAGTCTTCCACTAGATCAGTTACTATCAGTGTGAAAAATACAGGAAATAACAAGATTAATATCAATTTTAGGATCCATATTGAACATAATGGACTTCAAAGTGAAATACTCCTGCATTAATTTTGTTCATCCCTCTCTCCTTCTGAAGTTCTTGTTACTGTGATTATTTTTGTTAGCATACCCAAAAAACGTCACCTCTTCCCCAGGGTCAGTTAACCTAACCTCACAGATGTTGTAGCAGTTCCATCGTTTATATCTTTATCTTAATTTCAAGAAGTTAACAAAGACCAAATATTGGTATTTCATATTGAAAATAAGGCACAGAGAAATGTGGATTTTTATATTTGATGTAATGACGATGTTGCCACACAGAGCTGCACTGAACTCTGTGATGTTGTCAGCCAGCTACTTGAGAGGAAACTTAAAGGGAGCACTGGAAACTTCAGGGCTCAAGTGATCAAAAGTTGCTGGAATATTTTGTTCCATTTGTTACAGAGGCTCCGGACCAAGGCTGGATTACCAACTGAGTAAAGTGGGCAGATGCGCAGACCCCCAGATTTACTACATATCATCTGGGTCTACACAATTTGATTAATTGCAAATTTGTTGGAAACTTGCACCACTGAAGTAGATAGTCAGCTACATCGCATCCTCCATGTTGTGGCTCTGGTCTTGAAGAGGGACTTTTAACAGTTTGTTTATAACAAGGTCATTTGTGGTAAAATTGTGTTTTATCAAACTGAAAAACACAGAAAACCTCAGACAAGGTTGTATTATTCCACCACAGGAGTAAGACTACAGCCAACAACTATCTTCACTGTCAGACCCATTAATGGAAATGTTTTACTTTAAGAATTGATTGATTGCTTCGTCTATAAAATGTCAGAAAATAGTCATTAAAGCCCATCATGATTCCCTGAAGCTCAAATGTATAAATTCTAATCACAGTTTTAATCAGACAAACAGTTAAAACCCAAAGATCCAGAGTTAACTATTATAGAAAACTACAAAAACTAGCAAATATTCACATTTAAGAAGCTGGTACCAGAGAGACAACTAATTAATTAATCAACTAATCATTTCTGCTGTAGAGTAATGTTTGGTTTTTTGGGCTGCCTGGGGAAAATGACATGTAAAGTGGGGGTCAAAATGGGCCCCAACAACACATTTTTGCCCTGGGGCCCCTTGGAAAGTTAATCAGGCCCTGACTTTTGTATATTTTTCCTGACTGGATCATCAGAGACCGTCAGAGGTGCATCTTTGAGTAATATCTGTTACCGTTTTCGGCAGCCCTGCGGAGGTTGTCCAGCATGATGTCGTAGTGGCTGCGGCAGAGCACCCGGCCCTCCACCAGGCCGAACTCCTCCCCGGTGGACAGCTGCCTCTTACAGGAGAAACAGGCGAAACAGGCCAGGTGGTAGACGCTGCCCCGAGCCCGGCGCACCCAGTCACTGGCGTACACCTGCCGGCCACACTGGGCGCACTTCGTGCCGAACCTACTGTGAGGAAGAAGGAAACGGGCAGGTGAAGGTTGGCTGTTAGAGCTCAGTTAAAATGTACTATGTGTGCACAAACACACTTCATTTACACAAACACATCTGTATGTATCTAAACTAATACACACACTCGTGTTCACAGCTACAACACGAACTGACTGGCATGATCCATCAGTTGTGTTAGTCTGTAAACACGTTATCGCATTGAGCTCCATTGTTAAATTGTCCTGTAAATAAAGGTCCAACTGCTCATGTCTGCTTTAATCCTTGGTAGTTTCTACTGGTTTTTATCTCTACACCTTATATTGACTTTGTGTTTTAGCTTGTACCAAAAATAATTTGTCCTGAACACAAACTAGTGTTTGTGTCTAAACTAATACACATGTTTTTTCTGCTGTGGGCCATCCCATCACATAAATACAGGTCACTCACTCCTCTCCTCTCTCAAACCCACATCTTAGGATCATTGTTGCTGCCTTGTTTAATGCAATCTCTTCATATCTCTGTGAGCTGCATTGCCCCACACTACACAGCTGATAGGATATGGCTATATTAGCCAATGAGATATAAGTTTTAGAATATCTTTGGGTAAGCTTGAGATTTATCCAGCCATCCCTACCAGATTGTTTTGAATTTTGATTCTCAACAGTTTGACTTTGAATTTGAACATTTCTTTGTGGCGAATACAGTGGATTCATTTTCTATTGTCATACTTTTGGTTTTGTTTGCATTTAACGCTAATTTGGTCTTTTCCACACAATTGATACCACATCAATTCATATTACAGCTACACAGTTACATTTAATTTCAATACAACAAAATCAATAAAGCAACTTGATTCAGAGCAGCAGAAAATAAAAGCCTGTAAACTGAGGCTTTCTTTGATGGTCCCCATGAATATTTTGTATTGTTTGCTGTGGTATTTCATATGATATCCTAGTGTTATTTTTGCAGAACGCTTTGGACAGCCTCTCTTCATCTCTACAGTGAACCAAATATTGAAATTCAGCTGCAGCTTGTTAAGTATTTAAAATGGTCTAAATCAGTAGTTTCCAATCTGAGGGTTCCCCATCCCTAAATCTGAGAGCTCACAAGTTGATTTAAGGAATAAAAATGAAAAATTTATCAAAAATGTTGCCACTTTTATTTTGAAATACTGGATAATTTACCTCATCTAGTCTCTGAAAATCCTTTGAATCGGGCAATTTCAGTAGAAAAACCAGGCCACAGGTCGCAGGTCGCTTTTAGAGACTATTCCACAGCACCGTGACACATTCTGGAGAAATTGTCTTGATTTAGGTGGTTTGTCTAAAAAGTTAACAAATTTAATTGATTCTCAAAATACTGGTGTCAGTTTTGGCCTTCAAAACAGCACTGGATACTATATTCTAGATGAAGACATACTGTATAGTAATGTCTTTGTCTGTGGCTGCCAATCCTTTTGGCTTGTGCCCCTTTAAAACAAAGCAGTATCAAACTGCAACCCTTTATCACAAGTCATAATCATGCTATTTATTAACTCATAAAAGATGTTAATGTGCACTTTCACTATAGAGGGGACTGTTCTTTAGTACATTATCTGTAATTGAAGTTTCCAGTGTGTCATCTGTCATTTTCTCTGAAACATATGCAGCTGATGTTCATCACTTAACATTCATCCATCAGTGGACACTAAACTTTTGTTTTGTTTGACAAAACACAACTTTAAATGCACCATTTGAGCACAGTATCATCTAAAACACTAAGGTCCTAACTGTAGAGTTTGATGGCAGGGCCCCACTATGAGACAGGGTTGTGAAATTAGCTGATAATACTAAATCAATTCTCAGTGAATTGAGAAGACAAATTTTCTTATAGTTGACCAAAGTTGATCTTGGGGAGAAAAGATCAATAAGCTGTAAAAACACCCAGAAACATAAACCTAATTATGTCCAAAGATTTATCACCTGAACAAAAATAATCTTTAAGTCACTGTTCAATCACTCATTGTAAATTCATTCTTTTCCATTCAGGTTTTGAAGGTCAAGTTTTACAAATTAAAGCTAGAAATTAAAACCAAATTTAAAGATAAAGTCTGATTTTCGTATTTTTTCAGTTTTATAGTCTGTAGCCAATTTATTTTATGTTTGCGTGGCTTTAAATGACTATGTATAACAACAATAAGGATTCAAATATTGCATCATATTTATTCGTTCATAACGGATCGTTTACCAGAAAAGGGGATTCATTGGGAGACTAAAACAAAATATGTTATCGGGGTTTATGGTTCCACAGACGCAGTTATGCGTCGGGGAAGAGGAATATTTATAAAAACTATCTGGTCAAATTTTTTCATTTGTCTGATTTTTCGCTGTAATTTGTTTGTTTGCACTTTAACACATCTCTAATTAAATCGATAAACCAACTTCAATGATAAACCATACACTGGTTTGCCTTCACGGACAACGAAAGTAAACGGAGTAAACGAAATGGCACAAAGTGACCGGGGGGGAAAAAAAAAAGAATCGAAATAAAATAACAATAAAATAAATAAACATTTAAATCGCAGAATTAATCAATTTAATTTCGGTAATCTACAGATTTGAACTGAACATTAATTATAAAGATGGTAATTAGCCTAATTATTAGGCTAATTCTAGAAAAATAAACACATTTATTTTAAAATGATAAAATCATTTTTCAATGCGATGCTTCTATAACCAAACTGTGTTAAACTGCGTTAAACTGTGGGACTTATTAAAAATTAATTAAAAATTAACTCCACTGCTGATCTGAAAATAAAACCAAGCTTGTTCAGCGTCATAAAATAAACAGCAAACAGTTCGAGGTTTCGCGACATTAAAATCAGAGCCAGAACAAAACAAATCTTACCTGAAATAATCCAGTTTGCAGTAGATTTCCTTGTTTTTAACGTAGCAGCTGCTGTGTTGGCGCAGAGACGCTCTGCACACTGAACACTCCAAACAGCCCAAGTGCCAATTCAGGTTGTTGACCTGTGGAGATTAAACAATACGATAATCACACTCACACACTAATGCACGGCTGAGTGTGCATGACAGATAATCACAGCGACGACCCTCATCAAGATATTCATCAGCCTGACACACTTCTTATTGTGCTTAAACAGTTAAATCAAAATCTATTTATTTAGAGCTTTTATAGAAGAAAGAAAGAAAGAAAGAAGGACAGAAAAAACAGAAAGACAGAAATAAAGAAAGTTGAGGAGAAAATGTCACTAAAGGAAAATTGCATTGCAGTGCATTAGAAAAAATATCTCATGTATGTTTTTCGTTTGTTTTCTTGAGCTCAGTCTGTGTTGCAGTGAAAAATAAAAGAATTCAAGAAAACCTACAAACCAAATTCAGAGACGTAGTTGGAGCTCAAATCTCTTGAAGCTTTGAGGACACATTTTATTCTTTCAGAGAGACTAAAAATCTGTAATTTTTCCTCCGCGGCTCGTGGTTCCTCACCTTCAGCAGGTACCGGTCATGGATCTCCATGCCGCAGCTGGCGCACTGGTTCTTGGCCGCCGGAGGAGAGCAGAGACAGGCGGCCTCCGACGGACTGGACTCCTCGGACTCCTTCTTCACCTCCGATTTAGACTGCGTCAGAAAACACGAGTTAAAACCAAACAGAAGACTCGATTCATCATTAAAATTTTAATTCTAATAAAGAGTTAGTGCTGAAAAACAAAATAGTCCCTGGAATATTTCAGTGCTATCCAGTGATGTGGTGGAAACACGAAGATCCAGCCTTGGAAAAACGCACTGATTTGATTTGCAGAGAAGCTTTTTCTCCAGTGATTATTATTTATAGGCAACATTGATATTATTTTAATTGCACCTACTGTAGGCTATATCCATGCATGTGCTCTGATAATTCAAAATTCTAACTTTCATTTAAATTAAATAACAGAAATCTTAAAATGAGTCATTGTGTGAACTCTAATCCGCAGATTAAAGGTGGATAAAGTGAGTTTTGGTGGCTTCACTCTAAACCACTGACTCCCTGATGATAAATATCTCTAGGTGCAGTCTGTGGTCTCCTCCCGATGAAAACCTGTGCCTCCTGTGCCTGAGGTTACCCCGCATGCAAAAAGTTTAGGAAGAGAGCAAGAAAGAGGAATCGACGAAACCTTACAAAGACCGAAAGACAAAGAAATCAAAAGGTTGCAAACCAAACTCGCCCAGATGTTTGTGACTCACCATTTTCGGGTCTTGAACGCTGCCTATTTGGAGAGAAGATGGAGCTTGCTCTGCGCATTACGCATCTCTGCCCCAACCCACACTATATCCGGTCCAAAACAACGAATAACAGTTTCTCCTGCATTTAAACCCTGGCAACAAAAGAAATTTTGATGCAATTAGAAGGAAGAAAAAAAAACTATATATGATCGATCATTCCTCTTGTGCGCAATAGGAGGCTGTATTCCCATGCAATCAAACGCAGTGAAAAGAAAGGATGGCACTATATCTGCAATTAGCGGTGGATTGAAATGCTTCGCTTGATAAGAGGCAACCCGAGTGTCAATTTCATCTGTCAATCAAGAAAAGGCAACCGAGCCACCAAGCCAAGAGAGAAAAAAAGAGCGGCGCATCCTAATTTCAATAGCCGTATAATCGAAAATCGAAAAATCTCCAAAGTGAAGAGGCTCAACTGGAGATCAGTCTATTCATAACAGACAATGCGCAGAAACTGCAGCTGATCTTGAAGCATAAAGGAGCTTGATTGTCTTTTTCTCATGATGGACCCATTTAAGTACTTGAGGCTCCCCTGGGTGATTACAGCTGCATTCATAAACTGCCAAGAAATCTGCGTTTGGGTGGCAATCCGGAGTCCGTGTTGTCCTTCATTTCGTCGAAATGAACTGGAATGTAAGATATGTTAATTACCAGCTAGGGTATAAATATTGGAGGCTGTAAAATAAGACGAGAGGGCCTATGGGAATAAGAAAAACATATACTTCATACATGGAGAACCTCCCAAAAGCAGCGAAAACATCGTCCGATGAAAGTTTTTGCGGAACATCACGGGGAAAATATCCAGATAATTCCGTGGGACATGGTTGTTTTTGCAGGCTTTCCTCTCAGAAAGACTCTTCTCCTTCTTTCTCTCTCTCTCTGTCTACAAAATAATCCAACTTCATTAACTTTGGTGGAACTGGGAAACAAACCAGTGGCACCAGCACCACCCTCCCAGTCAGTCTCAGCACTGTTGGTCCGCTGTGGTTTCTTCTCCCCGCCTCGACACTCAAAGTTTACACCCAGTTCGGTCACACAGGATGTGATGTTGCTGGACCAGCAGTGGCCCGGGTTTACCCTCCTGTTCTGTAGCCTCACAATAAACCATTAAAAAATATATGATAAAACTTTGAAAACAACCAAACGTTGAACTTTGAAAACTTTCCTTTGTTCTGAGGAGGATGGCTGCAGATCAGAGGCCAGAGTCAGTTCATTATTGAAATCACTGCACTGCTGATTGCAGAGTGATAGAGGCGTTTATGACGCTCATGATACTATTTAAGGCTAATTATCTAGAGAATTTAATTCTTTTGTACATTTGACACTTTTCCTTGTCTTCAGTTTTGATGATTTTAGATTCACATGGCTCAAGACGGGGGAGTTATTTCACAAGTCTGCCTTTAAACAACACTCACGTGCTCTGAAAAGGTTGTGTTGTATGTTTGTGTTGTGATTTTGTGTTTTTATATCAAAAACAGTTTTTTTTTTCCTGCTTCCAGGTATTAAGCTCTCTTGTTAGTTTCTTATTAGTTTTTAATATGGATGTGTTGCACATTTACTTTTCAGAATAATGTGAAAATGAAGATTTCTTAGATATGAATAGCTGCAGTCAAGGTTTATAATGGATTATATCTACACATTTAATGCAGGTTTACCTTTGGAAAAATGTTATAAAATGCATTTTATCATAATTGAGAAGATGCTGTAGTAATACAACAACTAGCCAGTGTCTCTGACAGAAAGTATGAGCTCACGACAGTCTGATAACTAATAAATAACACAGGCAAAAACTAATAAAGAGGAACAAAGATTTAATCAAAGTAACTTTTACTCTAATTTTATTTAAATCAAACAAATGTCACTAATTTTTCAGGGGTCGAGGCTTGACATCTACAATGTGAATAGATTCCTAAATCTTAATAACCAAGAAATAAAGGGGAATTATTCAGTGAACTTTCTACAGCCTCATCTCCCATCAGGGAGAATGGGACACAACCAAAAGTGACAACACGTGGTTAAAAACAAGTGTGATAGTTCATTTTGTTCAGAAGGACCAGGGTTATTCAAACTGTCCGTTGGTCGACGGTCAAATCGACCAATCACTTGATCAGTGGGCGGGATGTCCGCATTCAGCTGGAACTGATGTAACTGTGTTGTGTTGTTTGGCTCCTTCAACTAAAGAAAAAGTGGATAAAAAGTGTTGCAGCATACAGCTTGTTTTTTAACATGTTTATTGCGTTTAAGTGAATAGTAATATCTTTGTAAAGTATGTGTTAGAGCCTTTATGCCTTTATGATAGAGTTTACAGCGGGGGGGGGGGGGGGGGGGGGGGGGGGGTGCCAGGGAACGAAGGACGAGAGAGACGAGGAATGATATGCAACAAAGATCCTCGGCTGGACTCGAACCAGGGACACTGAGGCTCTTGGTTGGCGCTTTAAACCTCTTTTCTTTTTTTTTTTACGTTTATTATCCTTGACTGATGATTCCTGTGTATTTGTTGTCATGTTAGTGTTTCTGTGTTCACAATTAAGAAATCCCAGCCAAAGATGTGGGATTTTTTCCCCCATATCTCCAAACAACTTTTTCAGCCTGTGTGTTTTATTCACAGGAAATTGAATATAACGGGAACAGGTCATATCGGGACAAACTGGCAGCAGATGAGAGACAATATTGAACTGTGATTGAATGTCAGCAGCTTTTCCTTTGATGTAAATGAATGAAACTCACCGAGTGAAGACTTCTCGGGTCAAGTACTGCTCACTCAAACTGAAAGGACTCTGCAGAACTCGTCTCATCCTGCTCACAAAAAGCCTGAAAAGTATTAAACACAGGACAGCCAGGCTCTGTAACAGTATTTATCCAGAGGCTTTTAGTGTCACTAACCTCTAAAACAACTGACAAAAACAACAACTGACACTTTAATGGTATATTACACAGTGATAGAAATTATATTTATGGATCTGCTTCATCCAAAACATGTAAATCTGGTCAAAAATAAGACCAGAATCTCACTTTTTGACATCGACATTTGACATAGAAATGTGTAGCCTAGTTTCAATGCCCTTTATGATCGTCCAAAATGACATTTTTTTTAAGTGGTTCAGCCTTCAAACTTCAATTTTGTTTTCCATACTTGGTGCTGTCTGCCTCTGAAAGACAGTACGGTAGTGCTTGTTTTGATTCATTAAAGTTTTATTGTTTGACTGTGGTCAATTCATGTTTTTACCACTTGTTTTATGTCTCAGTGCGGTTATGTGCAGTATGTTTCTGTTTAGTTTTCATTTTACATTAAGGTCACCAAATAAAACGCAACTGCACTGAAACGGCAATAAATCTCTGAATCTTTTAGTGTTTGAAGGACGAGACAAAGGATTCATTTTTTTTTGGATGCAATAACTTGAAAGTTTCATTGCAGCACCTCTTTAATAACGTGATCTGACTGGAAAAACTTATATGAGCATGTGATTATATGATGATTTAAAAGGTCATACCGTTTAGTAACTGATGAGTTTTTCTGTTTGGATGAGAATAAAAACTTTTCAAAATCATTTGTATTGTAATATTATAGCATGTGTGAGATATTATTTTCTTTTGTGACAAACATTTCACCACTTCAAGTGTATTTTTGGTGTCCATGCTAGCTGGATATTGTATGAGCGTGATACACTACATTCAAGATATAAGCAGAGCAAAACCTGAATTCAAATGTTTCAAATGCCCAGTCATTGTGGGTTTTTTGTTTGTTAAAGCTGAAGAGAACAAGGCTATGTTGTCTTCATAAGTTGACATTTTGGAGATTTCTGAGTGACGATTTGGGGAATCATTTCCTTTGTGTAGAAGGTCTCACACTGAAGCCGCAGCTTTAGACTTCTTTCACGAACTCCCTGGACCGACATAGAGGGAAGAAAATGATTTAAAGTAAAGGTTTCCATGAAATCAATGACACTTTATTACATATTGATCACATGAAAAGCATTTGTAACAGCAGAATTACCTTGTCTCTGCCTCTCTGTATTGTCAGTGTAATGCACTTCAGCAGCTCTGTGCATTAACTGTAATTACCAGATGGAGCAGGGTCAACTGGAAGTGGGCTGGTCAAGATGCAGCAGGACTTAAAGGAGGGAAGAGGGTTATTTCACCTCCATTATCATGACTCTTTAGTGATGATTTGCAAGAGTGAAGGTTTTTGACCACTTTGACCACGTTTTTTTTGGACCGGTTTTCGACCAGTGTACAGTTGGTTTAGTTCTACATTAAAAACCTAAAAGGCCTTTTCAGGGAGAGTTTTTGAGATATAATCCAGGGTAGATATAAATTAGGAAAGAAGCTGTTTGGACCTTTTTTGCTGTAAAAATGAAAAGTAGCAAATACATTTTCATCTTCCTGGAAGGTTATACACCATAAAAAAACCCAAATCTTTTATGTCAGGATAAGAGTTTCTTAAGATAGAGTAAGTTACTGCATATTTCATTATCTGGTTATTAATGACAAAATATGTTTGATGTCTAAATAAAACACTAATTAATACACCTGAATCCTCCAAAATACCCTAACTCTACTTATTCAAAAGAACCAATAGATATTGACAGAAAAATCTCTACGAAATGTCCACTTACTCACTTGTTTGGGAGTTTCAAACCATGTCATCAGATGTTCATTCATTTGTCACATAACTGTATCTTGAAACTTTCCATTGTTCCTCATTAACTATTACCATTGTTGAATAATGGCTGAGAAACCTGGTGAAGACTGTGTGATATGATCAAAAGCTCTAGAACAAGTGAGAAAGTGGGCTTTGATTGGAGTGAATGTTGTTTCCAAGGTCAAGACTGAAAGTTTATTTATTTAATGAATTAAACATTGATGCAATTTTTGTCCAGTGCATATAGAAAACGAACAGCACCTTATTATCTAGAAGAAACATTTATTATGCAGCAAGCTTTTAAATATCTGATGTCTCCTTTCTAGTTTCATGTACCCAGAGGCGGAGCCAGAGGTGGTGCAGGCCCACTCTGGTCTCTG